TTGCGGTGAAACGCGACTGCGTGTTTAAGGCAGGTATACAACGCGAATGGGAAACACAAGCTGCGAGTTGCAGTTTCTTCTTATCTAATCCATTAAACTCGATATTGCCGTAAACCGTAGAATCGACTCGGGAAGAATAGGAAATACACAAAAGAGAGAGAGAGAACCGCCGGGGGCTACACACGTGCCTATGTGTGCGAACGGGCAGGAATCATTGCTACGTAGAAAGGAGGAAAAAAAGTCCCGATGTTATACGGTGAAACATCAGGGTACGGGTGGGATTTGTAGGTAAAATATGACGTGATATCTCTCGTGTGTCGGATGAGGGAAAACTGCCCGCGGCTTTCTTCGAGAAACTCCCTCCTCGTGATAACGCGGAAGTTGGAAGTGAACACAGAAGCGGTTGCTTCTGTCCCGCCGATAATTCTGTCCGTCTGTTCGCGGATATTCGAGACCCAATTCTTAGTCCTTTTATATATACATATATCGCATTTCTTTTTTTTTTCCATTTCTTTTTACCCCCTCGAATGATCGAGCACGCTCGTGTGCCCAACACATGTGTGAATTCGACGAGGGTTACTACACAAACAGCCGTTGAAAAAAAAAAAAAAAAAAAAAAAAACGACGTGCCTTCTTTTATGTAGGGCATTTCGCACACAGAAACACCGGAGAATGTCGAGAGGGAGAAGAAAAAAAATCTCGAACTAAAGTCTAACGCGTCGCGTGCTTGATTCAGGTACAGAAAATCATGTGATCGCCGGCAAAAAAGTGTGTAAGTGTGACTCAGCTGTTTCGTAAAGAGTCGCGTGTTACGCGATCAGATGTCTTATTATAGGTGTCCATGCAGTTGGAGGCATGCAATAATTACGCGATTATGCGCGCGATGCGGTTGACGTTCATTATTTATCGGTCAATCCACGATAGAAAGTTTTTCAACAGGTTATAAATAACGCGCGTTGTCGCGCGTTTCTGTAACAATGCCGGCACGCCAGCTAACTATTTCGCTATTATTTTCACGCCAACCGGGCGCTTTAACGTCATTCGACGGGACTATGAATCGCCGAAGGGGCTCGTGGCATTTTCTACAAGCGTATTACACGTACTTATAACATAAAAGCCCGGGAATTTTCTTCTCCTGTACGTGAAAATTGTCTTTGTGTGCGTTAAATTTGTCCAACATTTTTTTCCTTTCTTCAAGCTGTCACAAATATGTTTGTAACAGCATTATATTACAGCGTATTCCGAGAGCCATCGTTCCTCGTTCTATGAATACAAAGAAAAATGTATTTTTCATATTTTCTTATATTCTTCCGACGTATCCGTAGAAAAGCATATGTTACGAGTTTCGGTAAATATCACGCAAACTAACGATGTTAGCCTAGCTGGTCGGACATACGTAGTACGATTATTTGCTATATAAAACTCCAACTTTGTTTAGATTTCGTTTTTTGACTGAATACGCACAATAAACATGAGAGAGAGAGAGAGAGAGAGAGAGAGATCTGATAATCTTATCCGCGGGAGAATATTAATTCTCACGGCTATCCGCATTTCACGTTGATACAGATAACAATTTTATCCGCGTATCCGCGGCAATTAATTCACGTGTGACAATGATTGAAGTCATTAATTTTCAATTGGTCTAGCCGGCCGATTACACATTAATCGTGGCTTTATTAATTAATCACGGAATCCAAGGATAACGGGGAATCCGAGCCAATTGCAACGTTTATGCTAATTTGCGATCCGATATCACGCATCGAAGGTGGCATTAAATATACGTTTGTTGCACTTTACGAAATTTAACGATAAGCAATCGTATGTGAATAAAAGAAAATTATCGGAATACGTGGGCGACGGAAAAATTTTATTTATTTATAAGGGATAAAATAAAATTTATATTTCAAATTAATATTTCAAAAAAGGATAAAGGATAAAAATTTGCGAGACAGTGACACCCGTAGCCGCTGTACCGAGAGCTCGTTTCGAGCAGAAAAATTCTCGGCAGCTTTTCGCTAGACTTGCCGCTATTCCTTCATCTCGCCGACGCCGAGCTCTATCCCCGTTCCAATTTGCTCGGAAAATGTTTTTCCTCGTGCCGTGACTCGAAACCGCGAACGGGAACGACTGGGAAATTGTAAGAACGTCTTCGCTCGCTGGCGCTCGCTTTCGGACGAGACGAGACGATCTTTTTCCCTTCCGATTTTTCCGACATATATTTTCTTTCGCTTTTGATTTTGAGATCTAAATTCTCGATTATTGACGCGAACGTCGAATAAAAAAAAAAGTTCGAAATCACATAAAAGTATGTTTATGTTTGGCTTGAGCTGGACGAGTATTATATCACAAGGCTATGTTGATTCGGCGACAGTCTCGATCCAACACTCGCCTTGTACAGTCGAACATATAAACATACAATGTATACAATGTATCTTACCCTCTATATACTTGTAAGAGTGAAACTTCGTGAATTTGAAAAGTTAGAGATCGGAAAAAAGCAGGGTTAAAAAAATAAAATATCTATAATCAAATATCGAAACGATACAAAATATTTCGATATTTATTATTTATGTATTTATAATTGGTTGAAATGAATCGAGAAGGGTGATTATGCTCTAATAATTCGCAAGTTGACTGTTCGATGCTCTTCTTATCTATACCCAAGTCTAAAGCGTAACAACCTCTCCGCATTATCATTAATAATTAAAAGGTTCTCATCCCATAACTTTATACATGCTATGTATAATTATCATGCAATATTAAAGTCGCATGTACTACTCATCCACATTACCGAGCGAGCGTTAATCTTATAATTTCCGTCTTTATATCAAACAGAGAAATACGAAGCAGTATGTGTTACATTTATATTTTTTTTTGTTTTAGTTTACACATTTTTAGTGTACATATTGAATTTAAGCCTATTTTAACTCCATTTATTTGCCGCTTGTTACGCATGAATCGCTTAATTCTGCTCGATAGCTTCACTCTCCTGTAAAGACACTACAATTACACATTTTGATTCGAGAAGAAGAACTCAATATATCACATGCACAAGGTGAGAAGTATTCGTCGAACTACGAACGTAAATTGATTTTAAATGTAAAAAAATCATCACCTTCAAATATTCATTTTACAAATTAAATTTAAACATAATATTTTTTTATATCTTAAATAAGTTTTCGATATAAAATTGTCTCGACGAAGAAAGTCAGATGACGGCAAATACCAGTTAGTAGGTGGTTCGGATAAAACAATAAATTCGTCTTGGGAATTGTGATGAACGAACGATCGAAATAAGAATCTGGATAGCAAGTAGAATTATCCCATCGAGGTCACAGGACGAATATATAATTATCATTCAAACCACCTAATAGCATTTGGTGACAGCTAGACTATCAAAATTGCGAAGAGTCAAGACAAGTAGAGAATTGCGTTCGCATTTAATTTGTGTCAGCCCATCACAATTCCGGTGAGGTGATAATTTTTAGTTGTTGGTTGGAAGAGGGAGGATCCAGTAACACACGGATTGAGCACGATCGACATTGTTGTGATGAACCACTTAATATGAGAACAAATTTGCTGAGTTTGCTGAAAATCGATAATGCTTCCCTTAGTTACATATCTTTCTCCTTTCTTTCGTTATGCGTCCTCCTCTTCGTCTTCTACTTCTCCATCTCCGTTCTCTTCTTCTTTTCCTTTTTTTGTCTTCTTATTTTCCCCTCGACTGGCCTCTTGATTTCCTTGATATCGCGTTTCACGTCCGCAGATGCCTTGTCATTCTCCGTCACCTTCTCGACCTCGCTGACCTCGTTATTTTCCTTATTGTTAGTACCCATCTTGGTTAGCTCGGCGACCTGTAATCCAGAAAAATTCGCAACTTTGCGATTCGTACCGTAGTATGAAAGAACGGCGGCGATGTATATACACGTAACGAGACTACAGATATGTAAATATCATCTCACGACGCCGATTTCCGCCGAATATTTCAATTTAATTTAATTTAATTTAATTTAATTTTTTTATTTATATTTTCTTATTTTAACTTAATGTAAAGAGTTTCTACGCGATTTATACGTCTTAAAAATATATCGAAAAACCGATGATCTTTTCTTTAAATTTGTGCGTTCTCGAAAATTCGATTTAACTATATAACAAACTAAGAAAATATTCTTCTCACGAGATTCATCTTACAATTAGACAGCCGGCAGACAAGAAGTACGCGTTGTGTAGTGTTTGTACTATTTTCATCTGACTCCACTCTTAAAGGCTCCTCGGGACGACGTCATAACATTGCGAATTTCTCCTTCTTGACGTGGAAACACGAACAAGAAAGCAAAGCTTTTTCCGCTATATCATTTATGCATTACGGATAAACATGTTTCCTTTTGCATTTCCTGGAAATGGATCGATTACTTTGACTCGAGCATTCTCAATGATCAAACAGTGACGATGAAAAGAATCGACGCCTATCTCGTATCTTGAAAAATATGAGTAGCGATGATCCAAATTGAATAAATATCGGGAAATTATAAAGTTTATATACATACATACATTATTATATTTTATTTCGTTTATTCGAAATTATATACCGGTTTTGATATAATAACTACAGAGTTGATTAACATTCCGTATAATATTCCCGCGATAGTGAGACTTTCGATCATCGAATTTCACTTATCTTTAGTTCCGTTTTCACGTACGATACCAGAATCCTAGAGCTGACTATTCCGACGATCGCAGGAAATTGAAACTGTTGCCTATCTAGCTTGATCTCATTCCGAAGACTCGATGATCGACAAACTATGCGCGCGCTGATTAAGCGCGCGTCGTTATCGATTAGCTTCGTTATGTATGAATGACGATAATTAATTTACATTCTCTATAGATTTTTCGTATGTTTGTACGCTGTCGAATTATTCATACATATTTGCTGAATATTAGCTGTTCTAATTTGATCAACAAATGCGCAAATTTAATGCTGTAAATTTTCATTATTGCAGAGTTTCGCATTCTCGACGTCGTCATGTATGGATTTTGAACTTCCATCCCTGATAGATCCCCGAGGATTTGTGGAGCTAGACGCGACGCAAAAAAGTAAGTGCGATACAATTAGATTTTTTTTCAATAATTTATCTCTTAATATTCGTATGGTATGTTAAATATTAACCTCGTAGAAACAAATACCGTGAATCGAATTAGTTACGTGTCGAAGAATCCTGTCAACGGTAATAACTACTCGCTATTTCATAATAAACAAACACTTGACAAATGTTGCGATTACCCTGTTGCGCTCTCGGATTCGGAATCCGATTGGAAAAACAGGAATGAACGGATAAAATGTATGTACATCTCCGCACACATATGCACACATGCGCGAATTCACGGTACGTGTATCCAGGAATAATTCAGAGAACCTTCAACATGTGAGAGACGAGTTACGATGCAACGTATCGATTCGATGCAAAATTTTTCGTCATGATACTTCCGTCGACACGATGTTTTTATTTAACGCGATAATTACCGAGTAGAAAAAGGAATCACACGCACAGTGTGAGACCGTTTTGCAAGCGTTTTTATTTTAGGTATAAAAATTTATATATTGTAGAGACGTCGACCATCGGCCCCAGTTTTTCTCTCGCTATTTATTTAAGACGATTTTACACGAGCCATAAAGAAACAAGTTGCCTCAGCTTTCGTAAAAGCTGGGAATTATGGGGTAATAAATTTTTTATCCGTAATTAAAATTGAATTAAACCTTCGTGTTTATTCATTCGACTGTGAACGGTGAGTTTATCTTTAAACTATAAGCGATCATAATTTTTTCGCTAGCAAGTTGTCACCGTAGTTGGAAAATTTACGACAATGTGAAGTATGGGAGATTTTAACCGAGAGGCGTAAGAGAAATAGGTTCGCTCGGGGATAGTTTCCGGGGAATTCCGGACGTTCCTCTAACGTATACATCGGCATTTTCGAGGATAAAGGAGACTCCGTGATACGATATCGAACAGTTCAGTCTATCTCCTTATCGGAAGCGGAGAACGTAAAGTACAATAAGGGCGGAAAGCGTATGTACCTGATCTAATTTCGGATTGTTGCATTTGTACGCGTACACTCGATCGTTATCTGCAAAGGACAAAGGTCTTTCATTTGCATTAGATAATAATATAGATAAAACGGTAATGTGTAGCGCGATCAAATTGTATGATTGTGCGTGTGTGTGTGTGTGCGTGTGTGTGTGTGTGTACGCGCTCGTAATGAAATTGTTATTTAAATAAAGCGCCAACAGCTTTCCACTTTACTTCGGCAGAATCTCACGCTCACGTTTATTTAATTTGTCACAGCGGACGAGCAATTGCTAAATACGAGACAGCATTACTGCTTCTTTTTTTTGTTAGATGTTTGAGGGAGAGAGTCGCTTCATGAATATTTTAGTAGCGCGAACTCGAGTCTCTCTGAACGTAAAAATAAGAGGACTGCGGAAGAGCGCGCGGAATATTTTCTGAAATAAGAAAAGCATTAATATATTCCTTTTAAGAGACAAATGGCACATGAAAACACTTTGCGTGTTGCTCCTCACGCTACATTTCCGTAAAGGAATTTTTAAAGAAATTTTCCGTCACATTTCTCCACATATGGAAAAATATTTGTGTTTGCGGTACGAGTTTTTAAGCACCGTAACGTTATCATTAATCGTAGATGTGCGTAGATATGATAAATCCAACATTTACATCTCTCATCGATGCTAAACTCGTATACGTAAATTATGAGATAAAAGAATCGCGTGGGCGTGTAAAATGCAGTGTAGGTGTGGGAAGCACGTGTCGTTGCGTCACGATAAAAAAAAAAGATGATGCATGAAATCGCGAGTGTCGACGCAATAAAGTTAACACGTAACTCGGGCAAGGATCACGGTATACGCGTGTTTCGGAAATATCGCTGTCTTTCTTTCGGATAATCGCTTCGATAAAGGCGATCGCTTGAATCAGTTGTCAGAGTGATTCGTGGGTGGTTTCGTTGACCTATCGGATTGACCCTGTAATCGTCGATCATGTTGTTATTCCCTTTTTTCCGATACCCACCCACGCGATCTTCTAACTGCATATCCTGTTTCCCCTTGCGACGAGATACCCTCTCACGCTTTTATCACGCTTTGTTATCTATCGATCTCTACGCGACCTCCTCGCATCGGAATGTTAAATCATAATGTTTTATAGGATAAAACATTATGTAATAGGAGAAAATATGATGCGATGAGGTTATTACACACTTTGAAAATTTGGCTAAAATTTAACGTATATCGCATGTTTCAAATGGTCCATACAAATTTTTGTGTTAATTTAATATGGATATGTTAAATAACATACTAATACTATGTTAATATTTCAACACAAAATGAATGCAAACTTTATAGTAATTTGAAATAAACTTTGTGTAAAATCAACATATTTTTAATGATAAAATTAACTTGGAAAAATGTTATCGACGGTCTGTAATCATTCTCACTCCTATTGTAGAATAAAATCAACATTTTTTTCCCGTAAATTTTAACAGACAAATTCTGTCACTAATCTAATAATACGGAACATGTCTATTGTGTAAAATGAAAAATATGCGCACATTGTATTATTTTTACGCTTTTTTTTTCAGTTGTTTTAATACTTTAACATTTGAGTTCCATTAATACAACAGTAATATGTAATTAACACATGAATGTGTTAAATATTTAGCACAAAAAGTTTAACCTGCATATTTTTTAACAAGAAAACAAATTTTCCAATGTGTATATAATCCACTTTTTGGCCATTTAAGGCGGTTTTAATAATTAACTAATCATTCTCGCAACGAATTAAGTGAATGGATTATTTCCATTACGCGTCCTGTCTGCGAGCCATTCTCGCAAGGAGTAGATTTCCGCGGAACAACATTAACGAGTAAGTTGCAAAATGTCCAGGAGAAGTTGAGCCTGGTGGCTGAATAGATTAAAGCGCAACTACGTGGAGTATACGGGGTATTCGACTTCGAAGTCCCCCCTCCTTTCCCCTTCCCCATCTTTCGAACCTGTACAAAACTTTCCGCGATTGTTAAAGTATTAACTCACTTTTAAAACGGCTTTACTTTCGCGCATTTTCACCGGCGCAAAAGGTCTGCGGGAGGCGGCGGACCTCTACGAGAAAGCACTCTCCGGTAATTAACTTAATTCACGTCCCCCACTGTACGTGGATAATATCAAGCCAGTGATAATGACGCGATAATCGTGTTTACTCTCGTTCTCGGCGTCTAGTAAAACATGTATTTTCATACGCGTTATCGTTATTTTTATGAACTTTCGATAAACTTGTATTACATTCCGCGAAGCGTCTAAAGATATATCCGAGTCTCGCATTTCCAAGTTATTTTAACTTAATTATGTTTTATAAAAGTATTCCAGATATCTTGGCAAAAAAGTTTGAAAGAATTTTAGTTATGCGCCTCTTGGAAATTGATAGCGCGTATGTAGGGCGTTCCTAAAATGTTTGATTAAACTTTTTCAAGTGTATTCTATTATATAATTACACTAATTAAAAAAATTCATGTTCTATTATAATTACACTAATTTAAAAAACTGGCATCGGAGTGAAACATACTGTATTTTGGGAGCACCCTACGATGTCCCATTTCGCAAGAAGCCCCTTCTGAAAAGAATTTGAAATGGATCTTTTCCAGACTAGAACTTTTTCCCTCGCATCGAACTTTTTCTATTTTCTCGTTTTCCCTTTTTCCTCGGTTGCGTTATCTTTCCGTGTGCGAAACTGACGGTAAAATAAATCCGAATGCGGATGCTATCGGGAACGGGACTATATTTGCAACGGGTCCAGTCGAGTGGCATCCACGTGAAACGACATTATTCGCACGAGAGCGCGAGCGTAACAAAAGTTGGACAATCACATTGTGACATTTAGTCGACTCGGTCACGTACGAGCTTCAAACCGCAAAGTTCTTTTCGCCCTATATGAGCTTCAGATATGTTGCTTATTTGAGGAAGGAATGTAAAAAACATTTCTTCCACACTTTTAAATGAGCTTGAAAACAATTTTCACGCCTCTGATGCTGGAAATCGGAAATAGGAAAGGATTACTATCGCTCATAATGTTTACGGACGTCGTAAATGCTTTCTGGCGCCCTTAAAATTTAACGATGGCCAGATAATCCACCTGCGTGCGAATAAAACATCGTAAATTTCTTCTTTTTTTTTTTTACGATTGAGCGCAATTCTTCGAGCTGTAAAATGGTATGCTGGATAATTTACGCAGCTTCAGCTCGCATTTGCCATAAAACTCGAAAATAAAACTAATGATGCTGTCTTGCTGACTTCTCGGAGGAAGAGATAAAGTTCGTTTTTCGCGAAACGGAACCGACGATATAAGGTTCGACCCTTCTTCCGCCACGCGTCTTCCGACCTTCCAATTCGATTTCGGGTTTCGCGGCATTCGATTACAAACACCTGTGCTCAGTAGACCGAGTTAACAGACGGGAGAGAAAAAGAAAGGAAAAAAAAGATGTGTGAGGGATATGGATGTCACTTGCACGAGACATCAAGACTTGAAATTATCTTGTCTTGTTTCAAAATTCGAGACAAAATCAGGACAAGATTTTTAATTAGTTATTTAATACGTGTGTGTAGTGTTTTGGGAAGTAAACGAATGACATAAATAATTATAATTATAAAAAAAATGTTAGGTTTTATTTCGGGGTTATGCATTGAGAGAGCAGAGCTGCATGTGATCATTCTATGGATTTCGAAGCAAATTTTAGTAATACTGACTATTCATATATTCTTAACTTTCTGATTGCTCGATACATGTTCTACTCTTCGATTAATTATTAACCGATTTTTTTGCACGCGCTGAAAATGGTTCTAAAAGGGATCAAATTATTTTTACATTTTTTTTCAGTTGTTTTAATACTTTAACATTTGAGTTCCATTAATACAACAGTAATATGTAATTAACACATGAATGTGTTAAATATTTAGCACAAAAAGTTTAACCTGCATATTTTTTAACAAGAAAACAAATTTTCCAATGTGTATATAATCCACTTTTTGGCCATTTAAG